GGTGGACGGTGCTGAAAACCCTTAGGTTGAGCTGATGCTGAACCTTACTTAACCTGAAGTCTCCAGGTTAAGGGGAAGAGGTGGAGAGGGTATGGAAGTTTTAAGTTTTTGTAAAAAGAAAACCTGAAAGTTCATGGGGTTTTCTTGCTAGAGCTTTAAAATGTATTTCTTGCTGCCTGGATTAGTTTTCTAGAACAGAAATCTGATCTACTACTTTAAATATTTCAGTAGTTCCCATCTCTTTCAACAGAATGTTGAGATCTACTTTAAGTAGTTTCCTTGGGAGGAGAAATGGTACGCTAGACTCGAAGGTAACCCTCTAGAATTTTGAAACTATTGACTGCAAACCAGATTTTTTTTTTTCTTTTTAAAATTTTTTAAATTTTTGACAAGGTGGTAGGAAGAACACAGAAATTTGAAAGGAAATGGCAATACATCCAATTTTATTTTGGGCATAGAAGAGTTTTATGGATAATTTGGCTTGCTAAAGAATATTTTATTTGGTATTTATTATTATTTTCAAGTAGGTTTTTGATTGTGCACTATGTGCAAAGAACTTGTGCTAAAGTGTAAGACAAAAATAAAGCAAACTGCCTCAAGTTCTCCTGTCTGATGTTGATGTGTATAGTTTTTTGGGGGGAGGGGGGCATGGAGGGTTGCACAGATGACTTTCTTAGTCAAATGTGACTGGTAGCAATGGTAAGGCCTAAGGAAGAAAAATAATTCTAAGGGCTTTTCTCACCTGTCCCAAGTCTCTAGGTGTGTGTGCCTTAGTTTGGGGTAAGTTGTGATGTGCTGTCATATGCCACTGAGGCCCCTTGGGAGTGAGAGATGCTTCGGGAGAAGGGCAGGGCCAGCACCGTTGGGCTGTGCAGGCAGTGACCCAGCTAGTACATTTTACTCAACTGCCCTGCCTCCTTCATCCCAAAAATGTCCCAGAAAAGCAAATCACAGGACAGAATGAGTCTTCATTCTGAGTTTTATTAATTTAAAGTAGTTCTTGGAAGTAGTCTTGCTGATGTAATTACTGAATACACAGCAAGTGGGTTAGCCTTCATCCTAAGCACAGAATGCTTTTTAAATTATTTCTTTTAACTCGCTAAACTAAGATTAATTCCCTGGGTGAAAATTTCATGTTGCTTGACAAGTGTTTTCAGTTCAGGGGACCCTCCTCATGATGAGTGTGAGTTGCTTCCCCCTCCCCCACTTGAATGTAGGTGTTGAAGAACCTCTCTCCTCTCAGTTCCTTTTTCACCTCTCATTCATTCGTTTGTTTATTCAATAAACATTCACTAAACACTTACTATGTGCCAGCTTCTATGTGAGGCACTAGGGATAATGAGATTAACACCTTCAGTCACTAACCAAACTGGACCAGTTACCATCCCAAATACGTTTTTATGATGGTTTCACAGCCTGGATGGTTTCACAATTTCCTTTGCTTGGTAACCTTTCCTGTCCTCCACAATGTAACTGAAATGCCTGTCACCCCAGATAAAATGAGCACCTCATTTCTGCAGCTCTGTTTTCCACTTCCTTATTAAACACGTGACAGTTCAAAATAGAAAAATCCTCTCTCCATTTTGTAGCTGAAGACATATTCTCAGAGAAGATGGATGCTCCTGCCCCGGACAGCAGTAGCAGAATGAGGTTGAACCCAGGCTGTGGCTTGGAAGCCTGTGTCCCCCATGACGGCATAGGTGCTGATTTTTCCAGAACGGCTTTTCTGGGTGCTGAACAACACTGAGCAGCTCTTAAGGTTTCCGAGCCCTCCTCTGTAAGATGATCGCGTGGCCTCTTTCCGCTTCGCGTGAGCTGTGAGTGTGGCAGTGCTCCGGAGTGCTTCTCTGCACTGCCTCGCGAAGAGCGCCGCAGCGGTGCCCGGCGTGGATGTGGCTGTCTGCATGGCAGAGACAGTTTTGTTTTCTGTGTGAAGGTTATGAACTGAGACAGGTTCCTTATATGGTCTTCCTACATTAGTATGTCCCTGAAAGCTTCCACAGAAAGGAGCTTTATAGAAAGGCTTTCGGCTTGTGAAGTGCCATGTGATTACAAGTGGTAGAGCTATCATAGTTGTTTCTATACTTGTCTTTCTTAGCGACCAGATGTTTCTTTTCCTGAGGCTGGAAATGCCCGGTGGTTGTGGGAGTGCTGAGACAACGTCAGTTCTTTCCAAGTGATGCTTTAGGCCCAGGTCACAGGATCAGCTTCCAGACAGAGCCACTTAGAAGGGTGCCCTTCTGGTGTTTCAGTAACTAAATCCCATGGCGAGGGTCACAATGGATTTGCTACAGATTAAATTTCTCTCTTAAGATAAAATGGTGTTACAGTGTGGTTTTAGTGTAATGCCGGAGAACATTATATATGGATTTTTAAAATAATTTTTGAGTAGTAATATGTGCACACAGTACAGAATTTTTCCTATGCCAACTCCTCTCATAGAGGCAGTAGGCCGCAGTCTCTGGGGCCACCTTCCAGAGGTGGTCTAGACCAGCGGTCGCCAACCTTTTGGACGTCACAGACCACCAGTGGTCCGCGGTCTAGACTGACACAGCCATGTAGGTCTCTGGTCCACACAGTTTTACATGATGCATCTTTTCTCATCTTTGTAGCTTGAGTACTATTAGTATTGACGGAGCTGCTGCCTCCATCTGTGTACATATACTGTTATTATATGTATTATATAGCTGCTTTCTTACTGATGGATGTTTAGATTGTGATAGCAAAAACAGAAAACATTGGCAATCAATATCTTTGTAGATAACCTCACGTGTACATATGTATGTATATCTATGCCATTAAGTTCTTGGATGTGAAATCAATGGGTCAAGAGACATGTGTTTAAAAAAAGTGTTGATACCCATTGGCCTCCACCCCAGATTGTAATAATTCACTAACCCTCAGTGTGTAAGGGTGCAAATTTGTGTGCACTCTTGTCAGTACAGTGTATTGCACAAGTTTATTTTTCGCAGTGTTACAGGTAAAATGTTTTTATCTCTTCCACAACTTTTCATATGTCTAAAATCCACTTATTGGAGAGAAACTGTACAGTTTCTTTTTGAGGTGATAAAAATGTTATGGAATTAGACAGTGATGCTTTCATACTTTTGTAAATATACTTAAAATCACGGGATTGGACCCATTAAAAAGGATGAATTTTATGGCATGTGAATTGTATCTTGCTAAAGCTGCTATTTTAAAAAATAAAACCCATTTGTATTTTCCTTTCTGCACACTGACTTCATTTCCCTTGTTTCTCTATTGTTCTTTTTCTTGTAGGAAATTAGTTTTGTTTTTGTTATGTTTCATGTATTTCTCCACAGTTGCCCATTTGCTCTTTTAATCTTGATTTTGCTCTTTAGGCATGTAGAAATTTTTCATTGTTATATATGGTTAGTCAAATCCTTTTTTTTTTTCTTTTAAGAAAATTTGAGGTGGTTTTTCATACTTGGAAAGGTTTTTCTTCAATATTATATATATTTAAATTCCCATGTTTCTTCTACCTCTTTTATATTTACTGTTTAAATATATTTAAATCTTTGCTTCTAAATCTTTAGAATTTCTTTTGGCCTAAATTGTGAGGAAAGGATAATAGCTTCTTTTCTTCAGATGATACCCAATTGCCCCCAAACTTAAAAAAAAATAATAATATACATTTTAGCCCATCGATTTGAAATTCCACTTTTTTTATTTTTATTTTTTTTAAGAGAGAGGGAAAGAGAGATAAAACATCAGTGATCAGAGAGAATCATTAATCGGCTGCTTCCTGCACACCCCACACTGGGGATCAAGCCCGCAACCCCTGGCATGTGCCCTTGACTGGAATCGAACTGGGAACCCTTCAGTCCGCAGGCCTATGCTCTATACACCGAGCCAAACCAGCCAGGGCTGAAATTCCACTTTTATCATTTCCTAAATTCTTTTATGTTTTGTGGTCTAAATTCTGGGGTTTTTATTCTGCCCCATTCTTGTCATCTCCTATGTTACTATCACACTATTTTAATAACTTTAAATATAAAGACTTGTAAAACACTGTTTAAAAGTTTGCCTTATCATTTTTGATTATTTTTCCCTTAAGTGACATTTTATTGTTCTTGCATTAACTTATAGAGATGTTCATGAACTTGATTATTTCACTCCTTCGCTGTGTCTCTTACTTTCTTGTCTTACTGTCTGTTCATTGTCTGTCAGAGCAATCTATAATAATAAAAGCGTAATATGCTAATTAGACCAGGCAGCCGAACGACCTTCCAGGCATCATTCCAGATGTCCTTCCAAATGAAGCCGCGGGGGTGGGGGCCAAGGCAGAGGCGGTTAGGGGCGATCAGGCAGGCAGGTGAGTGGTTAGGGGCTATGAGGCAGGCAGGCAAGCAGTTAGGAGCCAGTGGTCCCGGATTGTGAGAGGGATGTCTGACTGCCGGTAACTGGCAGTCGGGCATCTTCCGAGGGGTACCAGATTGTGAGAGGGTGCAGGCCGGGCTGAGGGACCAACCCCCTTCCAGCCCCCCATGCACAGATTTTGTGCAACGGGCCTCTAGTGTTAAATAATAGTGATCACAGGAGACATTCTCAGCTTGCCTCCCTGAGTTTAGTGCACATGCTTTAGGAATGAGGTAGTAGTATTCATACATGAAATTGGGCTGTGTGGTTCTTTTGCTTGTTTTTTATTACCAAGTTTGGTTCTATTGTCATAGAACTAATTTTAAAATGTATTTTTTAAATCTGCTGTGGAACAATTTAAATGTCATTGGTGTTGCTCATCCTTAAGAGGTTTGGTGGCAGAATTCATCCATGAACCAGAGTGGGGCTCTTGTTCTTTGGGGGAGGCAGTTCTTACTGATTTATTCTACTTCTCATGTAGTCAGTCTGTTTTCTTTTGGGACCACTATGTTTTCCTTAAAAATTACCCATTTTATCAAAGTTTTTGTATGTATATGCATGGATGAGTCATAGTATTCTTAAGTTTCTCTTAACTTTATATCTTATTTTGCATTCTCTATATTGATTTCTTTGTTCTTTCTTACAGGAACGGGAAATATAGTGGTCATTATGGTTAGCTACTCGAAAGGAAAAGAAATTTTGGATCTGGTACAAAAAGAAATTCAAGTCAAAATGACCATAGGGGTTGGGACCCGCCATGTCCAGGAGTTCATCAATGGCCAGTCAGTGGTGTTTGTGGCCATCGCCTTCATCACCATGATGATCATCTCATTAGCGTGGCTGATATTTTACTATATACAGCGTTTCCTTTATACTGGCTCACAGTTTGGAAGCCAGGTAATTATGGATAATTCTTTTTAATTTTGCTTTTTAAAGATAGTTTGTAGAGATTTTCCATATATATTGCTTAAAGTTGTATTGGACCCTATTCTTAATTTCATTTTCACTCATAATAGTTAAGTATTAATATGATGGTTTTTCTGCAAATAACTTTTAAATTAAAACATATTAAATTTCCTGTTCTGTGGGGAATCAGATATCTTTAAATCCAGGTCACTTTTTGCATGTTTTGCGAACATAATGGAATGACAGAGGGGCATGAGGAAGAGGGGACCTGGTTCTGTTTAACAGGAGAACTCTGGGCCCTCCGCCAAGGAGGAGCAGAGGGGCTTCCCTGTCTTCTGTGGAGCAGCTGCAGCTCCACACCGACTTTCACACTCTGGCCTCTGGTCTCTGTCATCTGGAAAAGTCGCCCTTCCTGACCTGTAGGCATTAGAGGGTCATTTCTGAGTCATCTTCTACCTGTTGGCTAGGAAGCCCCTTTCCTTTTAGGGAAGTTAATAGTTGGTAGCCCCATCCTTAGCTTACTACTTTATTGCCAATATTTAAACACTAGAGGCCCGACGCACGAAAATTCGTGCAAGAGTAGGCCTTCCTTCCCCCGGCTGCCAGCATTGGCTTCCCTCTGGCACCGGGACCCGGGCTGGCTTCTCTTGAGCCACTGGCAGGCACCCAGGACCCGGTCTGGCTTCCCTTGGGCCGCCCGCAGGCACCCAGGACCTGGGCTGGCTTCCCTCCGGCCCTGGCTTCATCAGGAAGGACATCCAGAATGACGTCTAGAAGGCGTCCGGTCTAATTAGCATGTTACCCTTTTATTATTATAGACTAGAGGCCCGATGCACAAAAATTTGTGCACTCGGGTGGGGGGGGGGGG